GTAACTGCAAACTACACATGCAACATGGAGTAAATTGCAGTCCTGATTTGCAGAAGATTTACAAATCAGAGTTTGAGTCAGAGATGCTCAATTGTTCTGTTATTCACAGGGTCTCTCCTCACTATACTTTCTGTCCTCCCACATATTCCTTCTTATCTAAATGGCTCGTGGATGGAGTGCCTGGGTGGCGCAGTTGGTTAAGTGTCTGACTCTTGATTTCAGCTCAGGTTATGATCTCAGGGTTGTGAGATCGAGCCCCATGTCAGCTCCGTGCTGGGCGTGCAGCCTGCTTAAGATTCTCTCTCTCCCTCTCCCTCTGCCCTTTCCCCCCACTTGGGCCAGTGCACGCTCTCTTTCTCTCAAATAAGTAAATAAATAGCTCGTGGATTCCTGAGTTCAGGGCTGACCCATACCAATAAACCCTGTGGAAAAGTGTGATTTCGTACATAGGTCTTTGTCAATAAAGAGCCACCTTTGTGGGGCAGTTTTAATGGCTTGTTATCCCGATGAATGTTCCAGAAGGAGTACACTGCATCTTGGTAGAATCTTATCAGTTTCTTCATTCATTCAAAAATATTTGAGTATCTACTATGTGTCATGCCCTGTTCTAGGTGCTGGGGATAGAGGGGTGAACCCCACCAACAAAGACCCCACCCAAGCAGAACTGCCTTTAGTAGAGATCCCTGATAAATGAGTAAACAAAGAGAGGTGCGAAGCCCTGTTATTTCTAACCCCACATTTGACTGTTCCACTTAATCTTCTTGAGATCAGATTGTCTTCATGGTTTTTTTTTCTTGGGTGCCTACCGCTGCTGGGGTTTCAAAGGGCCATGACTGTGTTGTCCCCTAGGCTGGAATGGCCTCTTCTGCCTCCCCTAGACTCCTATTCATCCTTCTCCTCGGATCTCATTGCCAGGTTCTGCCCTGTGCCAGCATAGCTAAACACCCACACATTACGATGTCCTGCTTCTGTGGACATCCCTGAACCCCCTCCTGGACTCTGAACACTTTAATGAGAGCATCTGTATCCGATTTATCTTTATGTCTCCAGGGCCTAGCATGCAGCCTTGTGTGCAGAGGCTCAGTGCGTTTGCTGGAGGAAATGCTGGGTCCCACCGCACCTGGTGGTAGGTGGTGGTATCACAGAAATCACTTCCAGGGGAGGGATGCTGAGTCTGGGAGGGGATGCTTTGCTCCAGCAGTTCTGTGATTCTCTGACAAGTTCAGCATGAGCCCTGCCATGACCAGAGAACACAGGCTAGGGTATGGGCAGTGATGAGTGAAGAGAGGTGGTATGGAACATTCTGATGAGTGTTTGAGGGAAAGTGAGAAATGTGAAGTTCTGAGGTTCTAGGACTGAGCTGGAAGGAATAGTGAAGATGCAGGCTTTTACAGCTGTTGTCCACCTAGGGTCCAGAGAGCCTGTGGCTTGACCTAGTTCTGACACTTAATTGCAAATCAGGTGGGGGAACCAGGCTACCAAGTTCAGAAGGCTTTCCGCTATGTGGAGACTCTGGTGACAGCTAAGGAAGCAAAGGCATAGAGAGGTGAAGTAACTTGCCCCAGATCACACCGCTTGTAAGTGGGGGAGCCTAAATTCAGATGTGGATCTGTCTGATGACAGATGCCAGCTTGTAACCCCTGAGCTACCTGTCTCTTCTAGGGGACTTAAAAACTCAAGCTCTTAACACGTTTTCAATTCTCCCCTTTGTTAGCTGTAAGACATGATGTGTTTTCTTTCTGTTGAAGTCTGGTTGTGTGCTTTCAGGAAAACATTCACATTCTTCAAATATTAAGATAAAAGACCCTGAATTATTTACTGTGTACATATACATGCAGTACATATAAATAACATGAAGAAGTTTTTGGGTTTTCGCTACCATGAAATTTAAGATAGTCCTATTTCATTTCTATCATATTCCATGTACAAATAAATATTTCATCCTGTGTTGTAACGAATGAGAATCTAGCCCTTTAAGGTCACAAACCCTAGCTTCATAGTCAATGGATGTAATCAGACCCCCCTTACCTGTGAAGGTCTTGCACCCTGTTTCTCTAACAACTGTTGACACATGGGCTGGAAAGTGGTTAGATCACTATTTTAGAAATGATTCTTTCTAGACACAGAAAAGTTAAATGACATTGAGTTTCAAAATGAGCTGCTAGAGGAACCAAAAATAGAAGCTTTTCTACTACATACGAGACTCACTGAAATTCCTACCACAGAGACTGTCTGCCAGCACTTGGTAGTCTGAAGTCCCGGTCCTGGACGCTTCAACCTGTTGTAACACCAGAAATGTTTCTGTAGGGGGCAGGGGGGCTGCCAGGGAAAGGCGAAGGCAGGGCCGGCAGGATTGTTTCTAGGTCATTCCCAACCTTGCTGTTATTAACACAGTTTTCTAGGTGGGAGATAATATGCTCATTAAAGTCCGAGTGTTCGTTTACAAATAAAGCCAGAAACCCCAAATGGCTCTATTACATAGATAAATGAACAGACATAAATGGACTCAATTTTTGTTTTTCATGCTCTGTCATATTCTGTATTCAGGCAAAGGAGTAGGCAAATAAGTAGCTGTTTAAAAATAAAACAGTGTGTTGTTCATTTAACTTTAAAAGCCACTGATTGGAATTAATAATCAGCGTTTCCATGTAGCACTGTATTGATGGAAACCCTGACATTACAGTGAGTGGAGATAAGAGAATGATGTTCTTTATCTCTTCATGTAATCTGACTTTTAAAACGCATCTTAATTCACAAACGTTGAAGAAAGCAAGCAACATTCAAATGGTATACTGTGGGCATTTAAATTCTTAGCACAAATGACAAATTCCTGTCTCTTGCCCATCTCCCACCCAAATTGGCTTTTATGGAATGACCTTTGGTACCAACTTATTTTACAGTAAAATCTTTCCTGAGTTTTTATTTTGAATTAATATGGCCTTTTCTGTCAAGTATGGTATTTATAAAAGTTTCCTTGTTGAAAAGCCTATGAATTTTGTGCAAATAAACCAGGCAGGCTCTTAGCTTAGTGGTAACATTTGTGTAGGACTTCTTTGGCTTTATATGATACGTTTATACTCAGTTTATTGGACCCGTCCCTGTGAGTACTCCGTGGAATTCACAGTTCGCTGATGAGAGCAATGTAGAGGGAGGTGCCTTGGCATGGTTCTGGGTACACAGCAGGCGTTCAACATTTTGTTTTAAAAGGAAGTTAACAAAGAGAACCCAATAGGTTATTTAACTTGTACGAAGTAGCACAGCAAATATAGGGTGATACCAAGCACTGAACTTCTTTTCTCAAAAATTCCATATGCTGTCACTGTTACACTGATATCTTTTCATGCTTTTTAAAAAGGTCAAATTAAAAATATTCATTTTACTTAATTGAGGTTAAATTCACATAACATAAAATTAACTAAAGCATACATTTCAGTGGCTTTTAACACATTCACAACATTCTGCATCCATCACCCCTATCTAGTTCAAAAATGTTTTCATTATCCCAGAGGAGACCCCATATCCATTAAGCAGTAACCCCATTCCATCCTCTGCCCAGCTATTGGTAGCTACCAATTTGCTTCCTGTCTCTATAGATTTACCTATTCATTTCACGTAAATGGAATCATACAATATCTGACTGTGTTAGTCTGTTTGGGCTGCTATAATAGAATATCACAGATTGGCTGGCTTATCTCCCACCTAGAAAACTGTGTTAATAATAGCAAGGTTGGGAATGACCTATTATTTCTCATATTTCTGGAGCCTAGGAAGTCCAAGATCAAGGCTTGAGCAGATTTGGTGTCTGGTTCATGGATGGCTTCATTCTCACTGTGTCCCCACATGGTAGAAGGGAGCTCTCTGGGGTCTCTTTTATAAGGGCACTAATCACCTCCCAGACTTTACCTCCTAATACCATCACACTGGGGGTTAGAATTTCAACATGTGAATTTTGGTGGGGACATAAACATTCAGTCCATTGTAGTGATCTTTGTGTCTGGCTTCTTTCATTAAGCATAATGTTTTCAAGATAAATCTATACTGTAGCATGTATCAATACTTCATGACTTTTCATGGGTGAATTTTATTCCATTGTAGGGATAGAGCATATTTGGCTTATCCATCCATCAGTTGATGGACATTGAATTGTTTCCATGTTTTGGCAATTGTGAATAGTGCTGCTGTGAATGTTTGTGTTCAAGTATTTGTTTGAATATTTGTTTTCAGTTCTGTGGGGTATAGTTGAATTTTCAGGTGATATGGTAATTCTACATGTAACTTTTGAGGAGCCACCAAACTGTTTTTTCATAGCGACTGAACCATTTTACATTACTACCAACAAGGTACAGGTGTTCAGATTTCCCCACATCCTTGCCAACACTTGTTATTTCAGGTGTTTTTTTTTGTTTTGTTTTTTTTTTTTTACTGTGACCATCCTAGTGGGTATGAAGCGGTATTTCCTTGTGGTTTTGATTTGCATTTCCCTGATAAAATATTCAGATATTTTTTTATGTTAGTCACCATACAGTATTAAGGAGAGTACGTATTACATGGAGGGAACTGGGTGTGTTATATGAAAAAACGAATCATGGAACACTACATCAAAAACTAATGATGTACTGTACGGTAACTAAACTATTCAGATTTTAACGCATAGAGTTAATCAGAAAGTGAGCTTTGGTAAGCAAAATCAACATCAAAATGGTTGGCTTCATCTGTCTTCAGAAGATTATGTAGAACTGGCATAAGCTCACCCCTAGGGTGCATGATTCTGGGCTGAAAATAAAGAATAAGTTGCTTGGGATTAGAATAATGTATGTGGATAACAAGAACCCAGTTATCCCCTAAACATTTTTTAAAATACTGCTTAAATTAATGAGGAAAAATAAATTCATCATGTTTTATTTTTGTATCACCTGCCAAAGATACTTACTTCTTTGCATTGTAGACCTTTCTTTATATAATACCTTCATGTCTTAATGATCTATTGTTTGTTTTTGCAGTGTGAGTGAAGATATCCAGGATGGCTCAGGGATCTGGGGATCAAAGAGCAGTGGGGATCGCTGACCCAGAGGAGAGTTCTCCAAATATGATAGTCTACCGAAAAGTAAGGCCTCTCGTTAAATGCTAGGGGTGCTGCCTGTGTGTGTGTGTGTGTGTGTGTTTTGTGTAGGGTTGACTGATGGTTGACAGCTTGACAAATGTTTTCTGCCTCAACTGCCTTGACTGATAAATGAATATCGTTTTCTTCTCATATCCTCTGATTTTCCAATACTAAAATTCAAGGAACTTAGGTTTGTCATACTTGGAAAAATATGATTTGGTTTTCTTTAAAGATTTTATCTTTAAGTAATCTCTTCACCTAGTGTGGGGCTTGAACTTACAACCCTGAGATCAAGGGTTGTATGGTCTACAGACTGAGCCAGCCATGTGCCCCCGCTTTGGTTTTCTTTAAATGCAAAGTTTGCCTAAGCAATGCAGAGGGAGATATATTCTCATTTGAGGTAAAAGCCTTTGTGTAACATTTTGATTGTTTTTGAACCCACAGTAGGTACAAGATCTGGCCTAGATGCTATGGGAGATACAGAGGTATGCATGTTTTAGATGTTTGCAGTCAGTAGGAGACATAAGATGTACACAAATAACTGTAATAATCTAAGTGTCAATTTCCAAAAGAGAAGTGCAAATAGAGTGTTATATGAAATCAGAGGAGTAGGTGATTACTTCCAGGCTCAGAGGCCAGGTGTGGACTGGTGGAGGGGTGGTCTTTGAACTCCGTTTTAAAGGATGAGTAGGCCTGTTTTATGTGGAAAGCAGAAAAAGGAAGAACAACATTCCAGCTGGTGAGATACGTTCAGCAAAGGGAAGGAGCTGAAGAAGGCGAACAGCATTCAGAACCAGTGAGCTTGGGGGCATAGGTGACTACATGGAGTAATGGAGGTAAGATTTTGGGAAGAGTCTGGATGGAGCCAGATTTTAGAATGTTGAATCATAGGCAATTTAATCACGAAAAATTTTGTGCTAGGAGTTGTAAAATTAATATCTCTTTGGGATTATGAGTCTTGCCATTGTGTGCCAGATGCATTAGTATGAAGGCAGATTCAAGGTTCCAGGGTGGGGGCGGGGAGGGGATTGTTATTTCTGTCTCTGTGAGAAAGGTAAGGAGGACACTAATTTAGCAGGGGAAATAACCCTCAGAATTGAGTGGGACTGAGCAAAGGGATTAAAGAGTAAAAATGACTTGGAAACTGAATGAATGTAGAATAAGAAGGGGAATAGAGAATCGAAGATGACTGCGTTTTGACCTTGGGTATAGAAAGACACTGATGCCATTAATTCAAATAGGGATATTTGGAAGAATGTCTTAAAGGAAGGAACTATGGCACATAAGTTTTATTTGTGCACATGTTGAATTTGAGGGAATAACTGCTTCTTATTAATACACCTTTTTAAGTCTTGCATATGTGTGAAAATGTAACCTAACTATATTACATATTAATAAGGAAAATGAGTTAATGTTCATTCATTTCACTAAGTATTTGAGTTGTCTGCTGGGTTCTGTGTATTCTGCAAGACTGTGTTTGATCTCTGCTAATCACATGGGCAAGGTTGAACTAGTTATTTCTGGATGATCAATATGGTGAATTTGTCTCTTTCCTTATAGAGAACTCAAACTAATCTTGCTTTGAGTATCAAATTCCTTAATTCTTTGCTTTGTAAGAGAATGCTTAGATAACCCTTCTCTAACAGAGATGCCTATTAAGTTGTAGTAAAGAAAAAAGAGATTAACAGGGCTAACCAATTAGTGAAGCATACTGAATAGAAAGATGTTTATTCATCATTACCTTCTTAACCCACCCCATGCTGGGAAACCCTAATGCCAAGCTCATAGAAATGTGAGCTTTGGAATCACACCTAGGTTAAAATTACTGCAACTCTACTACTTCCTAGTGGTGTGACCTTGAGTTCTGTGAGCTTCAGTTTCTTCATTTTAAAAAGAGTAATAAAAGGTGGGAGGAAGGATAGTACCTTGTGGGGTCATTATGAAGATTCATTTAGATAAAGTAAATGAGGCATTTCACATCTTACTTTGCATGGTTGTGGTCCATAGTGAATGCTCCTTTTTTTTTTTTATCTTTAGGTCTTATAAAGACAGTGTCATTTGGGGAGGAAATAAATTATAAAATGTATAAATGTTGGTGCTATTAATAAGTTGACTAAAGTATGTTTATACAGTGAGTTGCTTTTTTAAGACACAGGAAAACAATACAATTTTTTAAATTTAAATTCAATTATTTTTATGTTGTTTAGGAGATTATAAACCAATGGGTTATTAAAGGTTGGCCGGAAATGTAAAGGTCATGCAACCCAAACACATTTCTACTAGAATGTTTGGTATTATGTTGAAAGGAAAACTTCCTTCAGGTTTGTGGGAACTTGATTTTTACTTTTTAGGTGGTAGGGGGGGACTCTTTTTTGGTTTAATTTAGATACAAAGTTGTCGATTGCTGTAGTTCTTCAGAGATATGACTACTAGCCATTTGGTTTCTATGTTGGAAATATATCTTGCTTACTTATGACAAATTTGTGTGTGGGGTATGCATGTGTTCATGTTATTTGCTATATTAGCTAATTGCTATAAAAGGGATATTGCATCTGTTCGATCTATTAGAAAGAAGGCATTGCTTAGTATGGGTCTAGGACCTGGAATCATTTAAACCTAGTTCATTTGACTAAATCCTGGTTGCGTTTCAACCATGGGTTATTTACTTAGTTCTCTATTCGCAGTGCTGTGGACCAGCCATTGGCTACAACCAATACAATCAATATTGCAGGACACTATCCTCAAGGTGTCCGTAAAGATTAAACCTTGAAACCAAGGTCAATTCAAGACATTTGCTATGGAAGTCCTCTTCTGTAATGGTTTTTTCAAGGTTGTAAACTCTAGAACCAAACCTTTTTTTAGAGGTCTACAACAGAAACTTATATTAAAAATTATGCAAATAGTGCTTTCCTTTTTGTTTTCTTTCTCTTGTTTGTTGTTTCTTACTCATGTCAGATGTTTTTAGTGTGAAGTTTTTGCTCGGACTGTGTTGTGTTGATTCAGATGCTGACATTTAACAAGACAGATCTAGAGAAATGGAGCTTTCGGGTAAACTTCCGAGTAATAGGTGGGATGCTTATGTCCATGATGTTGTTGTGACTTTTAAATGCCATTTAGGATGGTCACCTTCTGACATATGAGTAATGATGGGTGGGTATCTTAAGCCTACATTCTCAGAATCCTCTTCATTTCCTTTTCATGTTTTCTGTGTCATTAACTGTGAGAAGTTGTACTTTCCCCAAGGCATGATTTATTTATTGAGTGGAACAGACTTTCTAATTTAGTTTTTCATCCTTCACATTCACATTTTGGATTGGAGGTGTGTATGAAAAATGTATTGGTCACATTAAAAATCTATTTAAGAGAATACCTTAATTATTCATTAAGTCACCCAGACCCTGTTAACCTTTTTTATATTCTTGGATCTGAAAAATCCTGGGTCATTGAATTGCCCAATGTAGGGATGATATGTGAACCTGGCTGAACATCAGATCACTTAGGGGTGTTTTAGAAAAATATTGATCCTCAAAGGATCCCCTTCACCAAGATATTTTTGTTTCATAGGTCTGAACTGGGTCCTGGGAATCTGTCTTATTTTATTTTTTATTTTAAAAAATTAAAAAAAAAGATTTTATTTATTTGAGAGAGAGGGAGGGGGCATGAGCAGGGAGGGGGGCGGGGCAGAGGGAGAGGGAGAAGCAGAGTCCCCACTGAACAGGGAGCCTGACACTGGCCAATCCCAGGACCCTGAGATCAGGACCTGAGCTGAAGGCAGACATTTAACCGACTAAGCCACCCAGGCACCCCCTAGGAATCTGAGTTTTAAACTCTAATCAGAAGAATCTGAGTTTGAAACACACTTACTTATCTTTTACAATATCCGGGTAGAGTACACATGGCAAAGTAATGGGAAAGTTGATGCTTTGAAGTGGGTTTTTGATTTTATAATTATTTATAAATCTCTCAGATGTAGAAGAACCAATCCCCTGTCATAGACTTACAAGTAAGGGATTTTAGTAACACCCTCATTTAGATGAGCAAACTGAAGGATGGAGAGAGTATGTAATTTACATCAGGTTACTCAGCAGTTTCCCAGTGAAGCCATGATTGTGTCCAGGTAGCCTGATTCCCCCTGTTGGTGTCCCTTCTACCGCCATGTTATCAACCACAGACTACCACTGCCACATTGTCGGGGCTCAACAGACTTTGGAGGAATTAAATAAATGAAAATACTGTGCAGCAGATCTTTGCTTTTCATGGTTATTCTCAGAGATTTGACTTGGGTTAACTTTGAACATTTGTAAATGCTAAAACTTCCTTCTGCTTGCTGGTGCTCTTGTTTCTCGGGTAAAGATTTTCTAAAATGTTTACTTTCTTTTATAAACTCAGAATTCTTTTGAGTACAAGTAGGTTGCTTTCCGATTTTGTTTAGTTCTCTGAGTGGTGTTAATAATGTCTCTTGAGAAATTTCCAACTTGACTGGTAATTTGATTTGGTAGAACTCTGGGCAATTAGATGGTAGTTGGACAGAGAAAATTATAGCTTAACTTGACCCAAACTTGGGTCATGAGGCAGTACAGTGTGATGGAAGATGCCAGACAGGGAGCAGATTGCTCTGGCTATCTGGCCCCAGCTCCCACGCTTACTGCTTTGGTTCTCTGGATCGACAACTTCATTTTCCTAGCTCTGTTTCTTATTTTGATTTCCTCCTCTCTCCTTTCTTTTCCTCCTTCCTTCCCAACCACAAAATATTTCTTACACCAAAAGAATATATTCAGTGTCCACATAAAGTAGAAAGAAGCATGATAAAATGAACCCTGTGTACCTAGCAACCCATCAATGTAATAAATAAAATATTACTTTGGCTTCATTTCCTCTTCTGTAAAATGTGGGGATTGGACTAAATATTGTAAACATACTTTTCTGCAATGATTTACCAGTTTCATTCTGTAAGTTTATAATCATTTAGAAGTTAATAAACTTCCCTGATGTCAAAACAGTGT